TTTACAAGAGAACTGGATGCTATTCCATCGGAGACTGCATACATTTTGTGGGCTATATTTTGCAAAGCCACTTTGGGAGGCTTCTGGAGTTGCTTTAAAGGTCAAACACACACTGGCTTTTACAAATCAATACAGTCCCCAAAAAATCTTAGTATGCTTTTGGTCTAGTGACTGACCGTCAGATCCACAGGCAAATAACCACAACCAAGGATTTAATCTAGACAAGGTTTCTATGCTTGCAGGCTACCTTCTTATATTTACTGGTTTCTTTGCTCAGCACATTTCTGCTTTCCTTCAATTTAACGGTGTCTACTTTGAAACTATCTGAAAATATTAGTTTAGGAAGGAAAGCATCACCCTTAATCCAACCTTTGAAACTAGAAGGACTCAATTAACCAAGAATTTTAATGTGGGTATTTGGGACACCAGAGGCTTATTTACTGTTAAAGCAGCTTCTTTAAAAATCACTTCTTATAACCAGCCCAAGTACATCTTGTCACAAACTTTGCACAAGAAACGGCCAACATATCTAAACATTCTGTGTTTTTTTTTTCAGTGGTCTGAGTTCTTCCAAACAGTTCACAAGTTACATTTTCCTTTCAGCAAGTAGTCTACCTCTTTTAAGGATGACAAGTGACAGTTTTACCAAATGTTGTATCATGGTGTCATTGGGATCACTTGTTTTCCAGTCTGCAACATCTGTGCTCTTGCTTCTCACTGTTAGAGCAAAGCCTCATTATTTTTTGTGTGGTAGAGCTTCACGGATAGTAACCAAGTTATATTTTATTTAAGATTAAGATGCCATTAAAAAGAGACTAAAATCCAGAATTTTAAAAAAGATAGATGTACATCTCGTAAAATAATTCAGAGCAAACTACCATTCTCGACATGTAATTTCTATCTCTCCTCATAGAACGAGTTTGGAAGTATTCCATCCCTTTCTATCTTTTGTAACAGCTTTAGTAGAATAGGTATTGTTTCTTCTTTAAACGTTTGATAGAATTCCCCTGGGAAGCCTTCTGGCCCTGGACTTTTGTGTCTTCAGGGGAGTTGTTCAACCTTTGCTTTTACACAGTCTTCAGTAAATGGGAAAGGTGTCATAATATTGCATGCTGTATCCTTTGAAGGGTAAGAACCAGAAATATCAAATATAGCGTCTGTTGAAATTCCACTTTCTAGAACGTAGATACATGGTCATACCTTTCGGTAGGGGAGGCTGAGAAAGGCAGTTTTTAATTGAATAGATATGTGACCAGTCGAAACTATATTATGGAAAGAGAGTAAGGACAGATATGGGGCAACATCTCATAGTCTGACATGCTACTATGTTATTCAGGAACAAATATAGATATTTAAAGCAGGAAAGAAAAACATAATTCAGAGAATACAATGCTTTCAAAAATGGTGAGAGGAAGAACCAATGTTGTGGGCTCTAAACTGGAAAAAGAAGATTCCAGAACAGACATATCCAGAAATTGAGGCCACCACTGGAACTGCGGAGTACAAACATTCCACTTTAAAAGCAATCCCATAAACAGAAAGCCAGGAATTAGCTGTCACCAATACTTTTGCCACCGCTGCCTCCAAACACCCAGGGAAGTGAGGAATGGACAGTGGAGTATTGCTTTAGAAACCATGATTTTGCTTGGCAGCAGAAAGGAAAATTCAATGGTACACGAATATTCTTTGCTTTCACCTTTTAAAATGTGTTTGAATACATTTTATTGGTAGAACCTATTTCTCATCCTGACTCCTGGCTGCAGGGTACATGGAAGTGTCACTTTAAGTTTTTCAGAATCTGCAGTCAGACATATACAGAAGGGAAAAGGTTGGAATGGTGTTTAATGAACCAATCCACAGCATTCACTAATGCTACTAATGAACAATGGGCACCCCAGCAGAGCAAGTATTATTAGAATACTGTTTTATTTCAACTGAATACTTTCTAATGAACCTTTCATTTGTGTTTATTCTTTAGTAGTTGAATAATCCTTTAGAATAAAATTATTGGATTAATTTCAAAAAGAAGGTAAAAAAAACATAGTTTGAATGAGGTTTGGAAATGTCAATATCAATTTCTTGCTCCTTTATACTAGACTTTAAACAAATACTATTTCTGAAGGTCTGAAAGTTTTATCTTTACAGAGACTTCATACTCTATTGATACACTTTTTCCTTACCCCAGACTACAGTGAATGAAAGAACAAACACTTTACTTTTCATATAGCAGCAATGCAACTAGCACTTCATTTCAAAATGACTTGATCAAGACATAGCCTTTCTTTGTCAGTTTCCTAATATTTGAAGTAGGAATATATAAGTAATTTTATCACATCTCCAACTGCCTTCATTTGTTTTTTCTTTTTCATTTGTTTTTATTGAAGTTCAATTTGCCAACATAAAGTATAACACCCAGTGCTTATCCATCAAGTGCCCTCCTCAGTGCCCTTCACCCAGTTCATTTGTTTTTCAGTGAGGTACTAACTGAGTTCAAATCACCATAGTAGGAACAGAACTGGGGGGAGGAAATGTAAGTTCCAAGATAGCAGGGATCTTTGTCAGTCTTATTTATCAGACTATACCCGGAACTAAGCAGGTGCTAGGCACCCAGGAGATACTCTATCAGAATTCTTGACTTAATAAGTGAGGTCCTATTTTCAAAAGGAGTTATGCAAATAATATTAGGAGGAATGAGGAAGAGGGAAATTGCTAAGCGTACATGAAACATGCACGTTGTCAGTCTCAAGGTTGTGAACTATAATGCTCTGTATTAAAATTTCAAGACTACTGGTAAACTCTTATTTATTTATTTATTTATTTTTTTTTTAAACTCTCTTATTGTTAAAATTAGGGTTGAAGAATCTTTGCCAGGTTTGAGGCAAGACTACAGGCTGACTAGCAAGGAACCTATCTTGGAATGTGTTTTCTAAAAATGAAGGCATTTAAAACATTAAAAAATTAAAATGAAGGCATTTGAATAAATAAATTTATTTTAAAGTGCGGGAAATAAATATATGTGAAAAAATTTTGTATGTACTTGGACATCAATTTCTTAATGCCTTGAGCAGGAAAGTTTTAGGAGTCCATCCACCAAGACACTTAAAACTCTTGTTTCCAACACTTTTTAACTTTGCATTTTATAATAAAAAGCACAGACAAGATAACCTCAAGTAATATTAACAAACACACAGGAAATGGAAGAAACTGATACTGTAAAGATTGCCTTTTTCCCCAAAAGGAAAAATTTCAGCAATGAAGGTTGATCATTTTGTCTTAAATGCTTTGCCTGAAAAATGAGTATACTACTCAGTAAGAAACATAGTTTAACCTGTTTAAGTAGTAGGCACAGAACAAAACTGGTGAATGAAAAAGTGAATTACAGAAATAGCACAATTGTCCATCTGATTTTATTTTTAATTAAAAGTTCTACTGAAATAAGTAAGCATACATGTTAAGTAAGGAAATAGATGGTTGTATTGAAGGGTGTTCAAAGAAAACAAAGTACAAGTTACAGTTCGGTACCTATTCTTGTTAACAATGACTATCAAACCGCACTAACCTTATTCTTTCAGTTCCACCAAGATTAGATTGTTACTTTTCGAAATAGTTCAGCTTTCTCAGCTTCTCCCCAAATGAACATGAGTCTACCATACATAGGTTAAGAGATTTGTAGGTGCAAAAATGCCCAATTTTTCAAGGAAGTATTTTTTTTTAAATGAGTGGCTCATTCTAGGAATTAATGTAAAGTAGTATAATGTTTTAAGATAAGATCATTACATGTAAAGCTGTTTTTAAACCCCTCTCCCTCTCCAGAGTCTCAAAGTTAAGAATTGCAACCTAGGTTATGATTAAAATATAAAGGTACAACCATTTTCACCTTCCATTTCCAAGCGAAGCTTCCACTTTGTCTTAATCTCTCACAACTGTGTTGCTCTGTAAGGCAAGGAGTATGAAGGAGATACATTTTGAACATTTCATGATATAAATATCTTTCCATAAGCAGCATTGAAAGTAAATTAAATTCTCAATTTTCTGCTCTCCATTCTCCCATCCAAGAAATCTAGTCTTAAATATATATGTATGAGATATACTATATATCATATATAATATAATATTGTGTGTATATATATATATATATATATATATATGAAAGGAAAAAAAAAACGTGTGGATCCTATGATATATTTTGGTAACAAAAAAGTGACCCAACATATTTTTGGTTGCTAAAACTTTCTCTAATAAAGCAAGCATGCTTCTGGCTGAACCTAGTTCCTGGATCCAATTAGATAATTTTATGGGCTGCCGCAAAATTTCCACTCATTGCTTATTTTCAACAGTAGTATACCAAAATGAGAACAACAAACTACTCACATCCATTTTCTTATTAGCTTTCTAAATATTCCTTTTATTTGTTTCTTTGAAATATGATTAGATAATAAGAAATATTTTAAAAATTGAAATTTACTATGGTCCTGACGTTGAGAAAACAAAATTGACATTTTCCTAACCTTGAAAAAAAAAGAACATATTAAATCTTAATTAAATAAAGAAAATAACTTGATAGTCAAATCACAGAATGGCTAGAGGAGCATGTTCAAGGGTTCACTTCTGCTTCTGCAAATCGAAACCACTTGTTCCCCATCCCCATCCACTCCCTCTTTCAAATGCAGAATAATATGAGCAAAAACAGGGAAGAGAAATATGCTCACCTTACCCAATTTTTCCAAAAATATATTTTGTTTGCATATTGCTGTTCAGTATCATTTGGCACAAATTCTGTTTAGCACAGAGAAGCTAATTCATAGCTAAATTTTGTGCTTAAATCCTGTATTCATTATGTAAACTCCTTTTTTCCATATAGCCCTCCAGGGTTTGATGAAAAATAGATTCCTAAACAAGTCAAACCTGCCAAACAGGAATAAAAGCTTTCCGTGGAAGCATAATGTTCCCTTGAAATAGAAGTGTTTTAGCTTGTACGAACATACTTCACTCTTCATTTCAGGAAGATGAATGCTTCAGGTAAGACATTGAAACAAGTAAACTTCCTGGGCTTAACCAAATACATTGAAGAGTATTTGAATTCAAAAGTATTGTTGAGGCAAAGTAGCTTCTTAATTATATTATAAAACTTAAATGGCAGAAGAGTTTAAAACCTGAGTAAGTCTGTAAATATTCTTCCAGAAGAACTGATGATGCCTTGATTATCTCCTCTCTCCCTCTTTCCCACCCTCTCTTCATCAGACCTCATAGATAGCATATCCTTTATGGCATTTCCTAACTGCTCACTTTTATGTCTGTCAGAGTCTTGAGCCAATTTCATTCATGCCTGCTGGTTGATTTTTTTCTTTGTGCACATTTCGTTCGGTATCTTGAAGATAGTGCCAGTAGTCTATAGACTGCGTGCTGGTGATGACTCCAAAAGGAAATTCTTATTAAAGGAAGGGTGGATACTCTTAACACATGGGCTTCAAACTGACCGGAGTCCCTGCTGGAGAAAAGCAGCTGTTTTCTTTCTGTTCTATCACCTCATACTGGGCTCCTGCCCTGTCTTGTCTGCCTGCCTCAGTACTGGCAGCTCACTGCAGGCTAATGGGAACCCATCTGTGTCCCAATCACCCCCTTACTTTCTTACCTGGCAAACAAATAGGTTTCTGGTATTTAGGATTAAAGATAGAGATGATATGCCCTACTTCAAAAAAGTAGTTATGGTGCATAACTTGTGTCTAGTGTCAAACTTTTAAAATACATTATCTAGGGATCCCTGGGTGGCGCAGTGGTTTGGTGCCTGCCGTTGGCCGAGGGCGCGATCCTGGAGACCGGGGATCGAATCCCACATCGGGCTCCCGGTGCATGGAGCCTGCTTCTCTCTCTCTCTCTCTCTCTCTCTCTCTCTCTCTCTCTCTCTCATAAATAAATAAAAATTAAAAAAAATACATTATCTAATGTCCTACTGTGTATCAGGTAACAGCAGAGAGATTAAAGAACTCAAGTCACTTACGTTACGAATAACGTCACCTGGGTCATTAGTAATGTCATGAAGAGCTGAGATTTGAATCCAGGTTTTCTTATTCCAACTTCAGGGCTCTTTCCATGACATGCTACTTGTATTCCATATATGTCTACTTGCTATCTGGGCCACACAGAAAGGAAGCCTGTGAATTGAGCATAAGGAAATAGTACCGGGAATGAGCTGGCGAACAAGTTGGCTGCATCAGCTTCTGTGTAAAAGAATCACATTAAGCAGATGAGTTAACTGATTCATTGATTGAACAAGCTCATATGTTGCCAGTGTCAGCCTCCAGGCCATGATTTCACTTTTTTTTTTTTTCCTCTCTGAGCTGGGATCATTTTCGCCGCGAGGAAGCCCTCTTCAAGTAAGCAAACAGCAGACTATAATTTTCTTGGAGCTTAGACAGAAAAGTTGATACAATAGTCATTTCCTATCTAGAAATAAATTGCATTGGATGTCTAACTAAATTATTACTTTATTTTCCAAATTTATGATCTGATAAAATAATATACAGATAATCATTGCAAAAAATGAATCTTTATAATTATTTAAGCGTAAATCCATTTTAATTGTTATTAGCTCTTACCAATAGTCTTTTAATGATACAAGTGCTCCATTTTAAAATTATTAGTTATTTCTCTGTTGGATGGAATATTTTCAAAAATTATTTCCTCTACAAGAATAAGGGTGATGTGTATCCTTGAAATTCTAACGTATACATACATTTCTTTTCTTGACTTTATTTTGTATTTCTAAATATTTCCCATTTAGAAATGCTTTGAAGTTGAAAATTGATGAGTTATTTTGTAAATTATCTTCTTTTTATTGATATTTAACTAAATACTGGGGTCAGAAAGAAGAGTCTGTGAAATACTGACTTTGAATTATGTTAAAAGTCACAGAATATATGGTCAATTTCCATAAGCAATGCTTGTCCTTGAAAAGAATGTATAATTCCATTAATTAAATGCAATATTCTACATATGTCCATTACATCAAGCTTGTTATTTTTTCAAATCTTCTATATGTCTAATGATATTTTATCTAATTGATCTATAAATCATGTGAGATTTCTATGCAATCCTTTCATTATGAAGGTGCATTTTTTCAGTTTCTCTTGTAGCACTATAATGTGTAACGGAATGAATTCTGAAGGAATCACTTTCAGTACATACATATCTCAGATACCTACAAGGTGAAATGAATCTTTTAGATCTATAAAGTGCTCCTTTTTTTTCTCCAGACGTGTTTTTTGCAGGTAGCTTGTTTGGTTTGTTTTTAACATAATGACACCAGTTTTCTGGTTGTTATTACTGTTTGCCTGGGATATCTTTTCCTGTCCTTTTCATTTTAAGCAATCTTCATCCTTGCATATCTAGTACGTCTCAAGTACACCTGATGGGCTTTTTTTCTTTTCAACACAACATCACAATCTAGAGATTTTACATAATATATTCAGACCATTTAAGTTTATGTACTTCTGATAAACTTTTTCATTTCTACCATTTCAGAGAATGCTTATATTTTTACAACTTTCGGTATTTTCCTGACACCATTGGACCTTCTTCCAAATTGATCAAGGGTTGTTGTTGTTACTGCTTTCACTTCCTTCTTCCTGCTGTAGAAAGATACATTTTCCGTTATCTTAGTAGTTATATTTAAAAATTTAACATGCATTCCTGAAATGTCTAAAGTTATCTTATATCTGTACTTCTTCTTGAACAACACAAATAACTTTTAAAATTTGGATCACCCAACCCCAATTTACATAGTCTTGTGATCTAATATTTAATTATATCTAATTTATTTTGATCTCCAAATTAGCAATTATTATTGTTTATACAGCCAATGCTAGTTTAGAATTATCTACATATTTACTATAATTTTACTCACCATTTCTTTAGTAGAACATGTTTTCATCTTGTTCTACTTCTTGAAAGACAGTTTTGCTGAACATTGATTGTCTTATGTTCCTCAACTGACTTTTTTCACAATCATTGTTTGCTCCCTCTTTTGTTATGATATTTTTGCTTAGGTCTTATTCTGATTACCTTCTTATAACTGTGCATCTTTGAATAGGAGTGATTCTTTCTAAGACAGCTCCTTTTTGAAAGACTGTATAGGAAGGAAACCAGGAAAATTATCTATATGAGCATACACCCTGGATTCAGATCTGTTTTTCCAGACATTTTCTCATCTACACTCTACCTTTTGAGTAAATATTCTCCGAGACAGAAACACATCTACCTACCTCATAGGGAAGGCCAGAATGCATAGTCAGATGGGCCAAGACAAGGTATTTGTTTTCAGCTAATTGAAACCAATGTCACACTTTTATTCTCCTCTACCTTTTGAGACTAATAGCCTGTTCTCTAAAAGCATACATGGGATGTCTACACACTTGCTTACTCAGCAACGTTTTTCTTCAATTCTTTGAAGAATCCTCTTTCTTAGAGTCTTCATTATGATGTTCTTCTCCCACAGTATTGAAGTCATTCTATAAGCAGCAGATTGGTTATTTATTCATTGCGTGTTTGTGTGCATGTGTGCATGTCCATATGTTTGCTTATACACATGCATGGCTATGTATTCAGCTTTTAAGAAGAAAATGTTTATCCAGAGAAATTAGTGATATGTGTATTTTCTTTTCATCTGTACTCTGATCAATTAGGCTTTAACTGAATCCCTTTAGATGTGCCCTATTTTCTAGTTCTTAATGAGCTTTCAATTTATTCAAACGCTAAGGAACTAAAGATAACTACACACACCCATACCTAGTTTTAGATTATCTGAACACATTATTACACATACACACATGCATGCACACATGCATACACACACCCTCTCTTTTTTTTAAGATTTAATTTATTCATTCAGGAGAGACATAGGGAGAGAGGCAGAGACATACGCAGAGAGAGGAGCAGGGTCAATGGAGGGAGCCCGATGCGGGACTCGATCCTGGGACTCCAGGATCATGCCCTGGGCCGAAGGCAGGCGCCCAACTGCTGAGCCACGCAGGCATCCCCACACACACTCCTGAACACGTACATCCTGAGAAAAAAACTGCTGTCAGGATGTTTTTAATATTTTTTTCAAACTTACAGTGATTTTATACAAGAACACTGTATGCTCTTTGATGTAATTCCTCAGTATTAGCCACCCCCTACTACTACTACTTTATAGCTCATTATTTTCACTTGGTTGGAGTTTGAAAATTGAAGAAGGGAAAAGAACTCTCTTTTTGTGACATGCATATAACATTGCAAATTACTTTCTTAGTTCATTCTCAAGAATTTCAGCACCATAAAATAAAGACCATGGTCTTATCTCTATTCCAGGCCTTAGCTCCAGTGTCTATCACAGTGACTGGCATAGAATAGGTGTTCAATATACTTTCATTTTGTGAATATAAGACATAAACACTGATTGCCTCAAAGAGCAGAATTCAAACAGCACAGGAATAATTTTTTTTCTGATCTTAAAGACAGTACAGGATATAGGCCTTCCCTATGTCTTTCAACAACTTATCTTAATTTTCGTTTTTAATTCTGGCCTTTTTGGTGGTAAAGTTATTCACTTTAGTAAATTGCCATTTTATTATTTGTACTAATTTTCATGAATTTATGTCAATTTCCAATTACTTTGCCAACCATATTTTTTTTGCTATTTCAAATCATTTTAAACTTTTACTTGAAAAAAAAATAAACTTTTACTTGAGAGTTACTAAATAGTTTTCTATTGCTAAATATAACAAATGAAGAATACAAATACTAGTCCTTAAAATCATAAAACCATAAGTTGAGTCCAAAATAAAAAAAGAAGACTAAAAACCTTTCTGATACGTATTTTAAAATTATAGTACTTGAAAAAATAAAATAAATTATAGTACTTGGCTTTCTAATCTTTATACAATACTATGTAATTATTTTTTAACCTCACACTTATAGTTTATTTTACTACCAATCAATAATTTCTTATAATACTAATTTTCTGAAAGATGATATCAAAA